CTCCGCGGCAAGCGCCGAGGCGTAGTCGGTGGTGCCGTGGGAGAGCGTGGGGAGGGTGGGGTTAGGGTGAGGGGGGGGGGCAGGGGGACGGGGAGGGGTTTGGGGAGGGAAAGAGGGAGGGGGGGCGCTCTATCCGCAAACGAGCCCAGTTAAGTCATTTTTAACAGTCAACAAATCCATGTTAACCCCCCCCTTGAGAGTGACAAAACGTTATCGAGACACTTCCTAACTTCGCACGTCCACCCGGAAGTCCAACTTTCAAGTCCTTTCAATAACAGTGATAGAAATGGTAGGTCAGCGCTGAAGAACAAAAGTTTGCACTCGTCGCTCCATTAGACCAGTATCCTCAAACATGTCTGATACTCTGACCTTCTCCCCCCACTCGCCCTTGTGACGCGTGTGACGCTCCAAATTACGCGCTGGTTGATGGCGTTTGCCTCTCCCCCCCACAGTATACATCCAAACCTAGTTTAAGACACTAGTCGAGGGGGCCCGTTTGAGATTTGTGCGCGCAGATTCACGTATTCTCCTCCTATACAGCACCTCCCTTGAGTTACAGGGAGGACCATTAGTCCCCCTCCTCCATTGACAACAACTTCTTGACCGTTTTGACCCTTAAAACCCCCAATTCGACATACACCGCACCCTGGTTACAGATTTGATATGGTTATACCGGATTAGGTTCGCGGGTTCAGGGTTAGGGATAGGCGCTAGGTGACTCCCTAGACTCGTTAGTGGAGTAGCGCGAGGTACGGCTTTCGGCAATATTTACGATCTAGTACCCAGGGTAACGTTCGGTATACCCGACCGTACCGGGACGTTCCGGCAGTACACCGGGGGACATAGACCCTCTCAGTCTCAGCCTAGCTATAGTGTGTTCAAAGCAAGATCACAATTTCTGTGATGACGAATTTTTGCCGATTTCATATCGTGATAAAGCCAAGGGTGAAGGGATATTTCTTTGAATTTTAATTACAATGCCAATGCTTGTACTTTGTAGTTGTAAAGACGCTCAGAAAGTGAAAAAGGAGTCGTACAAAAATGATACACCCGTACTTTGTCGTCTACTGGTACTCCGGTAGAGCCTTGCCAGTGCCGACCTTGAGAATATGTCGGTGAGATTATACAATTTTACTGATTACTGACTGACTGACTGGCACAATTACTGAATTAGGCCTATAAAGCAACAAAAATCCAAATTATGACGATAAGAATAAGCAGTGATCGAGTATCGAAGAATAACCGCAGTGTAAAGCGTCGTAATCAAGTCCGCGTGTAACAAGGTGCGTAAGCAGTGTAATAGAGTAATCACGCCAGTGAAGCTATGACAGTAAATAAGCCGCGGCAGGTTTGTAAACACCGTGTCTTTGCGCTTTTCTATCTAACTCTAAGTAACTTGAGTGATGCCGGATTATACATTAGTAATGTCTTCATCAAAGCATCACATGGAACGATAATTACAATGATAGTCGTACTAGTGACATTTAATCTTCTGCAGCCACCTGCAAATATATTCTAGGACTCGGAGATACAACCAAGGGGAACGATAAACGACGAAATATCTTTTTTCTTTTTCACCACTGTGGTTGTGTTTTGTTTTTACCGCCATCTGTCGCGAGATACAAATCTCTCACATAGAAATCCTTTCGTTTTGCGTACCCATAGGTGCGCAGATAATCATACCGAAATTTGCCAAACCCGCCTAACTGAACTGTTGTTGACATCGGGGTTGATAGTCATTAGATGATTAGGTATCAACTAATAGTCTAGGTGTTCAATTTGATACGTAGGATATTTGAATGAGGATGCTTCAGCCTTATAATACTTTACTTACATGCTACCGATAAGGTCAGGCTGGGGCAAGGTGAGGTTGCTGGGAAAGGTCCGTCGCCTTTGCGCACAACATAATTACCCTTTTAATACTTTCTAGCTTTCTTGCTAGAAATATTGACCAACCCTCAAGAAGACCTTCTGTAAACTTTCTTAAGACTGTACCCCACAAGCCTCACAATGCGCACCAAACGCTAATTTTCTACAGTACTCAGACTAGCCAAATACTTGCGTGCAATGAATAATCACACTAGCCCTTCATGACAACCCTGAAACTAGTGCCCCTCCCATTTCCCCTGCGCGGTTTGTCTTCATAAAAGGCAGGGTTCGTCCCAAGGATGAAATTCAACACAGGGGAGGGAGGGGTAGGGGACAGAGCGCTCAGGGGGAAGGGGAGGGGAAAGACCTAGGGAGCTGAGCAGGCGCGGATGGGGGAAACTAGGGGGGTCCGGGGCGTGTATTTTAGCCCGTACGACTGAATTAATGCTAAAATCGCCGACGTACACCATAGACGGTATTCTGCGGGGTTCTTGTATATATAAGAAGCTCGAGTCGGTGTACAGTTAGTTGACAGGTTAGACTGTGCATGTCCAGGTAACTTGTGTACTGCATGTCTTCAGGACATGCGTGGTAGCGTAAATAAGCGCGTCGGATGTCCTGGTCCGAACGCAATTCTGAGGATCGATTCCCACGCGCTGCGCCAAACTTTTATTCAGTGGGTGGAATTTAAACGGGGAGTCACCGCAGTAGACGTTAGATGAGCGCTGTCGCTCCGCGGCACTTGTTATGTAAAAAAATGGCAACAAAAATTTTACAAATTTTACCATAGAGGATTCGTGACGTAGTAAATTTAAAGGTATATGTTAAACGATGTAGATTATTTTGCAAATAGCTACAAACTTTGCTGTTATTTACATTCCTACAGGTGATGTTATGATGTTGTGCACTGTTGCTGTACTGTGGGGTTTTACAAATCCACTAATGAAGAAGTTTAGTGCTGGATTGGAGAACATTAAATCTGCTGGTGCTGTCACACAGTTTCTGTGTGAATTGCATTTCTTAATGTTTAATTGGAAGGTAACATATATTTTATTATTTGTATTGTAACAATTCCGCTCATAGGAATTTTATCTGAAGTATGTTTATTTTATGTAGCTGCCCTGGTTTTTTTCATGGTCTAGTTTTCCATGTCATTCTTGGCAGAAAATAGTTTGCACTAACATGCAGGATTCATTTCGATTATAGTACATGGTGTCATTTCTGACCAACATTGGTGGATCTGTCCTCTACTACGTTTCATTGTCTTCGGCTGATGTCTCACTTGCATCACCCATCACAAATGCCCTCACATTCATTGTGACTATTGCAACCAGTCGTCAGCTAGGAGAAAACGTTGGAGGGACAAGTAAGTATTTATTATATTTGCCATTTTGTGAAGTTTAGGTAATGCCTCTCCTTCCAACACCATATTATAATTTGTTTACTCTAAGTAGTAAGTATATTAATTGGAAGTAACATGGTGAATTATTTGTCATGCATTGAACGAGATTCAAAGTAGGCTAACAAAAGAATGTTAATATAGATTTGACAACCACACGAATCATTTTTAAGCAAATTAGGAAAATCCATGTATAAGTTACCAGACCAAAAACAGTTGGTAATGTTATTTGTAATGACTGTGTGCATGTAATGACTTTGTAAAAATAATTTGGTAATTTTCAGAGGTGTTCATTGGAATGCTTTTGGTTGTAATTGGAGTCTTCCTCTGTGTCTTGGACAAGAGCTGACCACAGTTCTACCACGATTACTTCATGATGAAATTCTTGTGAATACTGTCATGAACACTAACTTGCATAACTTTACAGGTGTTCATATAATGTCATGTTCACCTTGTATATTTTTTTACCTAAATTATTAAAGTGTGAGATATGTTTGGTTGTCAGCACATACTGTGATAATACACAATAATAGTTCAGTTACGACATGTTTGGTGCTACATGTTGTATATTATATAGTCTTATATAGTTATATAGTTATATAGTTTTATGGTTGGTCTGACTCACAGCAGCTAGAGAGAACACTTGATAAATCCTATCGTTGGAAAGTGGCGCCACCTTTTGTCAGAATTTATAGATATCTGCAATTAAGATGTGCACGGCCAGAATAAGCTAGTGCGTGGCTTGTAGCACATATTATAAAGAAACCCTAAATTAAAAAAAAAACATGAATTTAAGTTAATCTAAATATAACCCATTTTCTTATAAGTTAGATAGATAATAGATTTAATAGCAATAGTTTTACTGCCAAAAACTATGTCAGCACTCATTATTGTATTAGGTTTACATGTATGTATACAAAAATAAATGTTTATAAAGCAAAAGAGTTTTACAATTAGATTATTTCATGATACTACGGCGACCCTAAAACCACCTGGCCAGTAGCAAATGCTACTTTTGCTACTATTGTCAATCCTGTTTTGTGTCTATGTAAAGCTTAAAACTGATTTGAAAAGTAAGATGGAACCCGCTCACAGCTTGCACTGTTCAAGCATTCAAGCATTTCAAATTATGGTTGACTCTATTCGGAAAGAAAACTCTATTGTGTATATCTATATTGCAATGTTTTTGTTTGTGTTCGTGTATTGCCATGTGTATTTGTAACTAAATAATATGGGAAATGTGAATATTTCCATAATAAACATGTTTTTGTCATTGGAGGGTGTAACCATAATTGAACAATGAATAATGTAGACTAAATAAAACTGAATGGATTTTGATTACATCAATATATGGACAATTATATCTGGAAGTGTTAATGGCATTCATTCCATGGTTTGCGCGCACTCATGGAAATACGCGCACTTATAGAATATATGTTAAATGCACTTCACCTGTAATAATTTAGTACGTACCAAGATTTTGAAGCAAATCCCGCGTCAAGTGAGTTTAGTTATAGGTATGCTATGTAGGTTTGTTTATCAGTATACTTATATACAATAGGTTCACATACAGTTGTACTGTAAATTATTGTGAATTATATATTTGATCTAAGTGTTAGAATGCGGTTACTAATGTCTCTGACATCAATAAATGTTAATTTGAAAATATCACTATTTATACACTTAGTTCCTTTTGCACTTTTTCTCCGCCCCCCGCCATTACTCCTGCACTTCCTCTTCCACTCTTTCGACGTAGCATAAGCCACATCAATGCTGTTCCATATATGAGCAATATCTATCCACGTGAAGGTAGTTCAGTCCGGAGTGAGCTAAAAATAGGCATGACTATCTCCATGACAACGATGTCAGTCATTTCGCTCTGCCTCCTGCACACATCCAATCGGGTGTTCGTTGCCGGCGCTACGCGCTAATACACATAGGCATATACTAGGTTAGGTGACGAAAGAAGAAATCGTAAGTGCAGTTTCAGTTAAAGTTAAATCCTTCCCGCGCCTATGTGGTGCATAGGGCGGTGCCTATCTCCGTTTCCTTAACCCGAGGCCAAGTAGCTGCTTTTACAGTAAATACTACAGCGGGACGTCCACTGGTAGCACTGCGAGTTTACTTTCCACGCTCTATCTCTATTTTTGCTGAGTGCTAAGCAGAGAAGTGTAGTTTCAACAAGCCCATTAAATTGCAGAAATCTATAGCGTGCTGTGATGAATGGTCAAGCTAAGTGACGCTCGGAGATTGGCTAACGCTACGGACAGACGCATCGATCGCTCACCAGTATCCGACAGAGACGGCAATCTAAAGCTGGGTTTACACTATTGAAAAGTCGTATTGACGAGTTCATCCACTTTTCTACGTTCTATCAACCTTTCTCTCAGATGTTCAAAGCATTTACGTTATCGAGCGCGCGTCAGCAACTGCAGTGTTTCAACATTTTACCTGCAGTGTGCGCGCGGGGCGATGTGGATACGAATTTGTGCATGTTTTAAAAACGCAGGCGGAAATATTCTCCCCCTGAGTGGAGGGGCACACCTCCTGATTGCTGTTATCTGAGTGGCTGCATGGCAAAAAGTTTATTAACTCGCTGACTAAAAGTTGAGAAAATCGAACATGTTCTAATCTCTCAACTAGTTGAGCGCTATACACTACCAAATTTCAGTCGATTAGTTGTATAAAGTTTACCAACTCGTTAACTTTTCAACAAAAAGTTGATAGTGTGAACCCAGCTTAAGAAAAGCGAGATAATTGAAAACCTATAGCTTGGAAGTTTGTTCCGCAGGGGAGTTCTTATACCCGTGTTAGCTCTACCTGTGTAGACCCTTCGCTCCGCAACAGCTAGCCTTTCTGTTTGGCAATAGTCATGCTAGCATATATATGTGTGTGTGTGTGTGCGTGCGTGCGTGCGTGCGTGCGTGCGTGTGTTTGACGTGCGTGTGTGCGTGTGTGTGTGTGTTTGACGTGCGTATGTGCGTATGTGGGTGTGCGTCCGTGATATATATCTGTGTAGCGGTCAAGGGTCACCAGGATCACGTGACTCGCGTCCCAACGGGATTTGGATGCAAGGTTTCACCTACGTCACGCGACATGAATCCCTGTATCTTGTTTGAGGATTACGTGGCATAACCACGTGACTACGTCACGCGACATGAATCCCTGTATCTTGTTTGGTGATTACGTGGCATAACCACGTGACAACTATTAGTATATATAAGCTACTGTTTCTCGCAGTAGAGGAGAGCATTGGTGTGAGCACTGGTGTTTCTCTCCAGGTGCTCCGAGATACACAACGCGAGGATCAGTGAGTGGTAAGATAAACGATCACGCTTTTTCACTCCTGGACTCACCCTCTGCCCGGTGCTTACTGACGGCTTGACCGTCTCTGCACGCAGGCATGCTGAGTTTTCGAGTCGCATTGCTTGTTACTGTGTGACTACTATTTCTGTTTCTGGGCATTCAGCCCAAGTTTGTGTAGTATTTATGGCCACCGGCCTGTTGGTCGGCGGACCAATAAAAGCACCGGCGTTCCCGGTTCGAACACTCAACTTGGTATTGTTGTCTTCGGTACCTGCTCGCGTCTGCGTGTGAATCCACGATCGAACCTGTGGCACTTTGAGGCCGTGACTGGCTCAAACGTCACAGTGGTGCCGTGACCAGGATTCACACAAAGAGCGAGCAGGAAGACAGCCTATGTGCTGGTGGATTCCAGACAGCAGTAACTGTACTTCCGGCAGGGTCGTGTTGGCTTGTGCTTTAAGCAAATGCCACTCGCTACCAGGTCCGGGCCAGTAGGTTGCAGGGGCTGTGAGGACCCCTAGTGTTGCAGTGGCTGAGCGTACGTCCGCTGCCACTGCACCGAAACGTCCTGCACAGAAAAAGACACGTCGCAGTGTCCCCTTTCCAACGAGGGATGATGTCCTTGGCGTCTGCTTGCCAGTAGATAGTTCTACCCGGCAGGAGATAAGTGCCAAGGCCCCTCAAGTCTCGGCGGCAGATCGGGCTCCTCGGAATTGGGATGGCGGAGTAACTGCGGGTCTGGGGCTGATGGATGCATCGCCCGACTATATGTGGGAGGCCAGCCGGAAACCATGGGTTTCCCGGTCGTGAGCCATGAGTCCCTATGGTTCCTAGTGGTTATTCCCTCTTCGCGTGATTCGCGTGGTGCCAGCCTGGAGCAGGTCTCGGACCCAGTTCGCAGGACTCGGAGAATCACCGGACCCATCTATGTTCCCCATAAGAGGCAGCCAGGGAAGCGTATGGCGTGTGGTCCACGTCATTTCGGTTTTCCTGATTGAGCACGGGACGTGGTGTCAGGCCGGGCATCAAGAGCTTGCCCGCCACGGTTATTGGCAAAACCGTGCAGTCTGTGCCATAACATCACGTCAGACCAGGAAGAGTTCCCGCCATAACTATTAACGTTATGCGGTCTCTGAGCAACATACCGCACGCTAGGCATAACTAGGTGTCACGGGTGGTTGGATGAATTGGCCGGTTGCTGGAAAAGGAAGGGCGTTACCCCTTCCTTAGCCTCGGCTGGTTACGGACAGTAACCCCGAGAGCAGGCACGTAAGGCAATTCTCATCCACGCAAGTTGCACTCCACGGACGAGTCGGTCAGATAGCCTTGTGTGTCAATCCTAGGGACACTGTAAGACGGTTATTGCGACGTAATGCTTTCCGCACGTGAGACCGATTGAACACAGGCACGGGTGAGGATCACACCTCTCCGTATATATCCTCATATATATATAATATNGTACTACCTTACCTCTGTCCGAGTCAAAGCAGTGGCGCCCCTTCCGTGTGAGTAAGCGCTCTTGGATAGAGACGTTGAAACCCGGACACCCACATTGCCAGCGTATTGGTTTGTTCGTGGCAAGGGTGAGAGTGATCACTAACCTACCACGTGGTAATTAGCGCGTGGTAGTGATTCATTGCATCGACAGTGAACGGTGGTAACGTGAAACACACGCTCCGAGACCACGTGGCACCTCCATGCATAGGTACTCGGAGCAGGCATGTTCTTAAGGGGGTTCAGGCTAGGCTCGCGGGAGTGTTTCTCCGGAGCTATGGCCGCCCCGTTAAAAGAAATGCCCCTGCGTGGAATTGGTTGCTACCATTGTGGCTTCTATGTCTTCGATGTGGCTTGGCAAGGATCGGAAAGGTGATTCACCTGCTGAGTGCTCTCGCCGGAAGTGGAGAGATGAGTTGCATGGCTTTATTCTCCCAACCCATATAAGCTTGGCCGGTGCTCACCCGCAACCAAGGATGGCGGACTCAGAAAATCTCCTCGATTCGGTGCTGCAGCTAGACGATCGATGCATGGAAACAGAGCCATGGATAGGCTCAACGGTGTCTACCGGGCTGGAGATAGAACTCTCGTAGCCCAGGGCGGGTCCTGCGTTCTCTGCCACCACCGTCTGCGTCCTTCATCGGAGGGTCTTCCCGGAGCAGGAGCCCCTCGCGGGGTCATCCTAGAATCATACGACGTGCGACGCCTTCTCCGTCGGCCGGCGCTAGAGGGTTGTGCCCAGGCCGAGCTTTGTTCAGCGGGGTGCCAGTCAACGCCTCGCTGGTACCAACGGCCTGCTGGTCGTGGTGCGGAGCGTGCTTGCTGCCGACATACCACGCGGGAGAGCACGAACAGGAGTTCCACTGCCGTACCGGGACCACTCATGCTTGTCTGGTGAAAGACTGCCGTTTCCGGACGCCGGTGGGTCTCGTCTACAGGATGATCCAGCACCTGAGCCGGGTCCACCAGGTGTGGAGGAAGCACCCATCTGCGGCGTCTAGCGCCTGGGCGACAACGCCGGACCCTCCTACGGCCCACAAGCGTGCGGGTGCGGGATATCTGCTGCCGTTGAAGGGAGTTACGATTCCAGACCCAGACCACTTCTGAGGGCAAGCGAAGGTAACACGCGTGGCAACAGCGGAGGGCTCTGCTAAGGAGGGGCGTGGCAGGAAGCGACGAGCCTCACCCCTGGGATCCGCGGCGAAGAGGAACCGGCGCTCGAGCCGGGACTGCTTTGCCGCCGAGGCGGACATACGCACATGGAAGTTGCCACCGCGTCTCGTAGAGCAGCAGCCTCGGCCTCGCATTGGGCTGAGGATGCAGATGTCGGCCGCAGAGCTCCGTGTCGCGGAGAGCATGATGGAGGCTCGGCTGCTAGATGATACGCGTGACCTAATTGCACTACGCGCTACTATACGGGAGAGAGCGTGTACGGATACTGGGTAGATAAGCGTGATAATGTAATAAAACATTTATTGAGACGTAAAAACCGAATATGGTATCTTTTGTTTTTTTTCATATATTATGCACGTCTGTAGTATCACGTCTCCGATATAAAGCGGCATGATATGCACTATGTGATGTAAATAAGGTATATAATTCAGAAGCGCTTGGCAGGGAAAAATGTAAACATTACAAACTTTCACATACCGGAACTTGCTGATGTAGTTGGTGATTGTAGCTGTTTATTCACACTGGCTGCCGCACATATGTGTACACTACTGGTCATACACACAGTAACGGACGTGTTTAAACTTTATATATTTTGTGTATAGTGTAGTAGTTATTTGGAGATGTAATACGGTTGACCTATGCTGCGTCATGGGTTCATTTCGCGCTGCTCCTACACGTGTATTGTGCCGGTGCAATTGATATAAA